TATATTATTTCCTGAATTTCCTTTTTTTTCCATTATTTTATTTCCTATTTTGTTCGTAAGTTTATCATCTATAAAATCCAGACAGAATTGATTAGTATAAACGAATATGGAGAATTAAATACGATTTGTGTCGTGTAGGTATACGACTTGACGTGTTGGAATTAAATTAGATCGAATATTTCGATTTCATTAATCTTTTAGATTATTCCAATTTGAATTCTATACCTCAATTTAAGTATATTAGAATAAGTATTAGAATCTGCTTGCATTTGCCGTTATACTGTTATATGAATATATAATTTTATAAAGATAGCTATAATAAGAAGAGCGCACCTCTTTTCATTTTTGTAGTATATTCTGTATGTGTTGTCCTCAACATGATTGTATAAATATTATGTTTATATTCGTTAAAGAACTCGAAGAAGCAAAATCGTTCAACAAGTGCAATAGAAAGTAGATTTAGTCTTCAGATATTATGCTAAATTTTAGTTTACTGGAGAATGTTAAATTAATATTCCGTTCGCGTAATACTATCACGGTTAAATAAAATTGTTATTTCAGTCACAATGGGTTTTTTGTACCTACCGTAGTCTTAATTAGTCTATGCCAGTATTTTTCAAAATGCGTATTGTCGTATTCAAAGTGTCGTAAGTCGATCTACAAGTGTATCTTAAAATTATTAATATAAAATTGTAATTCAGTAATATTTCTTTAGATTATTTTCATATAGATTCGCCGTTATGAGTATCTTAATATTGAAGTAAGTTTCGATATGTTTTCTAATTTAATACAGTGTTTTATGCTATTTTTAAATAAGTGATGCGTTGGAAAGGAAGTTAATTGCTTGTTACTACAAAATTAAAAAAACATTACATAGTTAAACGAACACCAAATAACAGTATCTTATATAAAGAATAGAGAAAACCAAAGTGGCGCTTAAATGACTCGTGAACTGATAACCCACATCACACTTCCTTAAGCTGGGTCCACATTTGTAGCATGTTGACGTATCACGATCAGTCGTATCGTATCTAGTATTTGTATCATAAATATGGACGCTCATTTTGTCCATGTCGTATTTTTAAGGCGCATCTTGTAAAAAACGCGTCCATACTTATCAAATGCTGTATTATGTCAGTGTATCGGCTTTAACTTTACAAATATAGACGCTTCACTTTTCTTCCGATGTATCTTGTCCTGATGCGCGTGTCTTTCAGTGCACCTTTCCCTTCTCGTACGGTTCAGTCATGTCTTCGTTCCCAAACGGTTTAGCCATGTCAGCAATTGCTCACAATTTGGCGGTGACTTGCGCCTGTTATATTATAATTAATAGTATTTAAATTATATATATTTATAATTATATAATTAAAGTAGATCTTTACTAAAAGAATGACTTTCAAACCCTTCAGATTTTCAACCACACTTTTATATAAACAGTGTGAGCTCCTCAGTGTTAGACAGTTATTCGTCTTTAATATAATAGCCAAACAACAGTCCATACCCTTATAACCAGAGGTTTGCAGTAACAGTGTATACCAAATGTACTCCCCACAGCAAAATTCCGTACTACCTTCGCAAGGCGAAAGGCATATCTCTCAGTCTTTCTATATAATAAAATAAACAAAAAATTAAATTTCTACCCTCTTTCACTACATGACTGCAAATCAATTGTTAAGACTGGCGTCCTTAAATTATGAGGAAAAGAAGATCTATTTAACTAACATGCTACAATAATGTTTTAGTTATTTTGATTATTAATTATGTGTATAATTAAATATATAGTGTTACATATACCCATATGTAAAATGTAAAATGTAATTATGTATAGAAAGTATTTAGATTATGGATGTACAATACCTATTATATTATTGTAATTTATACTGAAACATTTTTTTCAATATATGTATTTTTGTTTAAGTAATATGTGAAAGGAAAAGAGTAAATTGGAATACAAAGATAAAAAGTATTGTTTGTAAAATTGAAAAGTTGACACTTGTTACGAATATATTGGGAGAAGATGACTTGAGATACAGGACTAAAGCCTAGTTTAGGTGTAGAGTCTTAAGGATTTCTGTAATTACAAATATGTCAATAAAGATTATATTATTATTATTATTATTATTATTTCAAAAAAAGTTAAATCCAGACGTAGACGGCGCAGGTGGGAGCTTGAAGTGTTTAGAAACCGAAACAAACATGGTGGAATACCATTGATGCGAGATTTAAAATTTCAGCATACCAGTGGAAAATACAAACTTGTTCGATACGATGTGTATTCCCTTTGATGATCGCGGAAAAACCGACACAGGATGGTTCGGGGTGCATCAAGTATCGTATCGCGATACAGTATCGTGATACAGTATCAAAATACGTCCATACCACCGATCGTGATACGCGTATCGGATACGAGGTGTATCAAGATACGCGCTTAGTGCGGATCGGGCCGTATCCGATACGGCATGTATCATAAACGGGTATCATTTTGCGTCCAAACTAACGATCATGATACGCGCCGAAGCCACGCAACGGAGATACGATACACCGAAATGCTACAAATGTGGACCCGGCTTAATTGACCCATTTTATCTGGCAACACTGAATATTTGTCTATTCTCGGTATTCTTATAGAGCGATTTATTAAAACGCATGTATTTTAAAGTACTAAGTTTGTGTTCTTTAATTGTACCTCTGAAGAGTCTGGTCACCCACAACACAGGAATACGCCAGTGTGAGGATCAGCGTCTGTGAAATAATGCAAGAGTATATTAATAAAGTTTCATTTATATTATTTATAACAATTTTAAAATTTTATATTTTTATATAATAAAGGAGTCATGCTGTAGAGAAATCGCGTAAATAATATTAATCTGATTCATTTGATCTTCTTTGACAAGTTATTTGTATAATTTGTTGATATTGTATAATGTTGTGTATATTGTGTATGTGTATATTGTATAATTCTGTACATAAGTACACGCACCCTTTTTTTATTAATTTTAAATGTTGGTCGTATAGTCTACAAATTAATACCAATTTCCATATACAAATTCTAAATATTTAATGTATAGGGCTAATAGACATTGACATGAGAACCGGGTGTAATGTATTAGTTACGAATACATTACAGTACAATACTTAAAATAATGTTAAACTACGGTTTAGTTCGCAAATTCTGCCAGGTACAATATTTGTTTTGGATAATTCGGTAAAATCAATTACGTATTAACAACATAATAATAATAAAATAATATCAAAAACACAATGTTTTATTCGAATATTCTTTAACAATGTTATTTCCAAAGTCCTAAGTCAATTTTTAAAGCCGAATTTTCTAATAGAGTCTAGGGTTTATGTATCTATAAATGATTTTGTAAAATGGTTTGTCTTTCCCTCCTTTATATCCTTATCCTTTATATTGGTCTTTATACACAATATGTAAGTTTTTTCAAATAACTTAAGATTTTTAGCTCAACCAATTTCTCCCTGCCTCCTTCGATCTATTGTACATTCCCATTTATTGCAAAATATGTATAGTATATGTGTAAAGGCGTATATTTGAACAGAACACAAGCTCCACATTTGCTCTAATACTTTTTTGTAATTTACTTCGACTGTTTGTCCCCAAGTTATAACTCCATATCTATGTATAGATGAAACAAATGATAAGCGGCTAAGACCGTATCTTGACTAATATTTTCCGTTAGTCTATCTATCTTTTTTGTTTTTTATAACAAAATGTATTCAAAACTTACGTTATTCTTTATAACTAGTTCCTTTTTACTTTCCATTTTAAGAGTATGCAGTTCAGGAATTTAGGATCTGGGAGTCATTTGTCAAGGAAAGTAGTGGAGCCAAAATACGTATTCCGTACTTAAATTTTTATTCTTGGATTTGTTCACAATGGCAAATCTGTTATTTCTATCCATTGTATTTTCAAGGTAGCTTTTTACGCAGTTATTGAAATCATCTGTTATTTCCTATTAATCTTATTAATATTTAAATACAAGCTCAATAAGCCTTTTACGTAAGCATAGTGTACATTTCTCTTGCTCTTTAATCTAACAGTGCTTAACTGGCTAAAGTAAATCTCGTGTAAGAAGGAATATTTCAAATCTTAGAATACTTTCAGCTCATTTAGTACACGAACGTATTGACTTTAGTTTTTAAATAAAATCCTAACAGTTTATACGTTTCGAGTTTTTACCGAATTGCTCTGTTTCAGTAGCAGGCGCTCGCTAAACGCTAGTTGGCGACGGTCCAAAGACCTTTTTAGACTTAAGTAAAAGTTTTCCTTTATTACAAGTTTTTGAAACAATATAATATTACAAGCTTCAAGGGAGAACCATAAAGCGATTTAGAAAGACAGCATTGGTTTAAATTACGATAAAAGTCCATTACCCGCATCTTTAAATGTGCACATGGATGTTCTGAGATTACCCCACAACAGCAAGCAGGCGACAGCCAGTTCCTGAAAAGGGTAAAAAACATTTCACAAAGTATATAGCATAGTACAAAAATTAAAAAAGCTAGTATAATAAATTTCAACCAAAAATTACAAAATTATATGAATACTTTATTGCTTCATTTTTTGGTGCTTTGGTGAATGTATGAAATTTTTTTAACAAACGTCTCATCTATAGTTGTTATTAAAGTAAAATACCAATTAATAAAAGGCTCATATATAGAAGTTTTAACGTAATATATACAGATTGTAAGGAAACGTCAATAAAGTTCTTAACACAGATTAACTATGAAGTTATTATGATTTAGGGTCTGTTTCACAATGTCCGGATAAGTTCCACATAAGATCCAAATAAGCTATTTATTACTTATTGGTAGGATAAACACTATTGTTGCGTTTCACGACTGTCAGATAGCGCTATTCGTCACATAAAGTCCATCATAAGTTATAAGTCCGATGAATGTCAAATAGCACAATTTATCTGAAACATAAGTGTGTTTGACTGATGTCAGACAAGAAAACGTTGTGATTCAATAATATGATGGAAGTTTTTGAAACTCTTGAAGATGAGTTTGATGAATACTTTGATCGCATCACAACACCGCGCAGGAATCCTGTATTTCAGAATAGAACTAACTATATGGAGACATTGGACGAAACGGACTTTAGGACACGGTTCAGACTTACTAAAGAAGCCGTGATGTTTGTTTATTCAATGATCGAAGAAACAATTTCTGCCCCTACAGAAAGGTAAGTACCTACATACCTACATACAACCCGCAATGATTGGTTTAGTTTGTACTTTGTTATTTATTCGATTATTGTTTCTAGTTTGTATAATATAACTTTTATTTTAGGTGGAGACAATGCAGAAGAATGGAGAGACAGAAAGTCACAGTTTTCTTTTAATGTTCAAACTGTAGTTAGTGCAAAGTTGAAGATTTTAGACATAGTGGTTAGATGGCCAGGAGCAGCACATGACCAAACAATTTTCAACAATTCATTCCTAAAACAAAGACTGATAAATGGAGAATTTGGAAACCTTTTGATTGTTGGTGATAAAGGCTATGAAAATACTTCATACCTCCACTCCAAAACCCCACGACTCCAGCAGAACATCTTTATAACGAATCTCAAATTCGAAGTAGAAATGTGGTGGAAAGGACATATGGTGTTTGGAAAAATCGGTTCCCCATTTTGTCAAAAAAGGTTTTGCTTCATGTATCTCGTGTACAAGCCGTGATAGTGGCATGTGCAGTGTTGCACAATATTGCTATTGATATGCGAGATGAACATTTTGAACTACTGCAACAAGTAGATGAACCTGCTGATGATATTGATCAAAGCGCAATTGACAACGTGGGAAATGCAAGTGTGCGAAGTAATCTTATAAGTGATTATTTTGCTTTATTACTATAATATTTTATAAATTACAAAATTTTTGAGATAAATTAAATAAAAATTCAATGCTTTTATTTAAATAAAAATACAAATTTTTATTACAATACATCCTCGCTCCAGGCACAAAATCGATTATTTTTCTAATTTATTTAACAATATATTTTTTTCTATGGACCATAATTCTCTTTTATGCTCTCTTTCTTCCTCTTCAAATGCCCATTGCTTTCTCTTATTTAGAAGCTCTACCTCCAGAATCTTCTTTTGCAGATCCGCAATCTCTAATTTTGAATCAGCAACTTTTTCGAATGGCCTTTTCATCTTCGGAGTAGCTGAAAATAGATTGATTGGTTAGCCGTGTGGTGGCAGCAAAGACGAGTAGTACCACCCAATATTTGCTTGTGGGTGTCGATGAAAGTGACTTAGGGCTTATCCGCGAGTTTTAGATATAGCGTGGTGACTATAGGCAAAACCTAATAATGAAATAAATCTACTTTAATACAAATAACTTACATAAAGCGGGATGTTTTTTGGAACGTAGAGATTTTGGCTTCCAGTTGGTCCACTTCTCAATTGCCTCACGTTTTTTGGGCGTAGCACTACCACATTCACCTGAAGTTAAACATAAAAGGTAAAGTCCGACTAACTTACCAACAACTCTGAGGCATAACAATTTGAAGCATTACTTACTTATTTTTCTTTTTGGAGGTTGAGGGGCCACCTCCTGTACGATATATTTCAGCATGTATCAAGGCAGATTTTTTTCTTGTAGCCCTCTTTAAGCCTTCGTATTTAGCTTTTAAAGTTTTAGCGCTGCGAAAGTTTACCCCACTTGTGCTATTAAACAGCGCCTCTAGCGTCTTCCAGCACTGCTCTTTCTCCTGCCAGGTGACTGAGTCACTTTTTTTATTTTCTAATATATTTTTATGGTCAGCAACAAGCGAAGTTAGAAGCTCAACTTCTTCCCGGCTGAAATTGACGCTTCTTTCACGTTTTTGCGTAGACATTTTTTTAAGTTAAAGAATCAACCTCGAATCACAAAAACAACGGAAAGGTCAAGCCGAAGGCACCGAACGAAATATGTAGTAAAATACTCAATAACCTAACAAAAAAAAATACCATGTGAAAATGACAGCCCGTTTCATTACAAGTAATATTAAATGACCAACAAAAAGGTTAAGGTTCTATGTTTTTCTATAGAATTTTGTAACTTTATTTGTTCGTAACAAAAAAACGGAACATACGAATTTGGTGTTGCTACCATAATCTTCTTTATGTGTCGGATAGTTGTGTGCCGGATAAAATATGATTGTGAAACGCAAAGTTTCTTATTCGGAACTTTTATCTTCCAAATAATTTATGTGTTGCATAGCTATTTGGTACTTTATCCATACATTGTGAAACAGACCCTTAGAATAGTAAAAATTGAATGTCGAAACTGCATAATTTATAGTTGTGTACACTTCTTATAACCAATAAGCATTGTTCAGCATGACGACATTTATCAATGTGCAAACACTAGGTACAATTGCTGACTTTAACCCTTACGGACTCAAAACTCCTTCAAAGCATGTGAAGGTTGTGTTATATTACTTTATAAATAAGTTCACTTTATCATAGGGTTTGCGTTGTGGAGACAGTACGCAATCGAGATATTTTATGTCGAAATATGAATGAGGCGTCGAAATATATCAGTCCAAAGTCTCTTTGTTCTTGCCAAGCCACCGACACAATTTACCAACATCGTTAATTACAATAGTATTTGGTACATCAGTAAATTTTGGCATTAGGGCAAACAAATGATTGGCAGTAAAATGTCACCCGATTTAGCACACTACGAGATAAACGTAGTGCTTTTATGTAAAATCACATTCAAATGTGTCAAAGCTCAAAGTTTTAAATTATTAAATCTTACGTACAAATGTACCACCGTAAGGCACTTTTAAAATATTTAACTAAAAAAGCTTCACTCTTAATTGTTTGTAACTTGTGGAATTGGTTTAATTAGAAATGGTCATTGAGAATCACGAAAAAATGTCACATTATATAATAGTATTTTAAACACACGTACATACCACATTAAAATATTTTAGAAAGTCATCATGCATTTAATTTTTTTTCTATTTTTAACCTCTTCCAAATATTACAATTTTGTTTCATATAATATTTAATTAATCAATTATTAAATAGAAGAAATGAATTGCGATGTAAAATGTCAGTCTAAAAGGCCATTTGAAAAGCAGTAATAAATCGTTATTAGGATAGAAATATTGAGGGAACTACATGGGTTAGTAGGCTGCCATAAATTTCCTACCAAGACCCTTTTACACGTGCTTATTATTCTTAGGCAAGTATTATAGGATTGATTGCGAATGGAATTATCATATGATTATATATATACGAGTACCTATATAATACTGAAGCAATGAAGGCTCATTCATTCATTATTTTTCATCGTCAATGAATGATATTCGATGTTAATGAATGTGTTAATTCATCATAATAATGGTTATGAATAGGTTTTTTATTTTTTAGAGTGATGTTGCAGTTTTGTTTATACTTTTTTTAGTTAAGCCACTATGTACTATGTTTTTTGTACCTTTAAATCTTCGTTAGTATATTTAAACCAAGCGATATGTTGTTTTCTATTAATACACTTATCGCACTACTTTTAGACACTTAAATAACACGAAGCTGGTTTAATATAAAAAAGAATCACATTTTGATATCTGAAACATATGTATTTAAGGCAGGAGTCAGGACAGAGGTCCATATGTTGAAAAGATTCTTATTAATAGCTCGTCGGAAATATAATCAACTAACAACTAATCCCTGGAAATCCTGAACGTATTTCAGGCACGTGATAAGCCTTGCCCATATGGATATTTCCTTCTTAATTCTACGCAAACAAGGTTTTCGGAAGCTTCTTAGCATCGACATTCACCTATGATACAATAATCCTTATAGTAGATACGAATAGACCACAAATAAAGCCACAAAGTGAAACAAAACCTGCCATCAAGTACCTACCGCTGCCTCGTCTATCCTTTAGGATAAATTTCTTAATTATTTTTTAGCCTACCTTTTCTGTGGAAACCTTAGAATATGTTGTTACTATATTATTTAATCTTTATTACTTTTGTATATTATAATACGTATCTAATAAAATTAAAATGTGAGTTTGGTGGTACGCCTTTACACATAAGATTTCTGTATTCACGTACAAACGTAACGTAACGTTAGCGTTATTGCTCAGAAATTATTTTATTATAGGCTTTTGTAATTCAAATTAGTTATTGTTGTTTATATAACAGTGCCTTTGAAATATTTAAAATCGCATAGTTTTATCTCGTCGGGTTGTCTCTCTCCCTACAATATGGCGAGTGGGTCGATGGTTGGCAATGCCTCGTACTCGTGAACGGTTGCTTGTTGTACTGGGCATACGTGGTTCGGTGTACCAACGGCGATCAATTAATTATTTTCTATCTTGATTTACTTTAATACAACATGTTTGCTTGTTTTTTCCACAGTTATGTAGGCGAATGCTCCTATTTCACCGGGCCTTGCTGATAGAGGTGAAATATTTGGTTTTCTTGCCTACAAATTTAGTGTAACATTTTTTCGATACGCGTCACATTTTTCGGTTACGCGCCATGTTGCTTTTTGAAGTCAAACTTCTTTATCGGCGTTGGAATGAAACTTCTTTATCGACGTATGGGAGAAATTTTGTAGCAAATCGTCACGTTTTTCAATGATAGTAATAATTCTATTACAATTAATGAAATTCTATAATAATCTTCGTAGTAATAAGGTAAAATGAAATATTTGTATTCATGTCTATGATAATAAAAGCCTTTTGTTAAACTTTATCTAATTTAACGAATTTCTGTAAAGTTGCATATAGTAGATCATTTTTCGAAAAATAAGATCATAAAGAAGTTTCACTTCTTACGTGTGTACACCTAGTACACGCACAATTTTTTACTTACGTTTATAAGTGTGCATTAAGTTACCTATATGAGAAATATAATTTTAAATTTAATATTATTTCGAAAATAATTAACGTTGATAAATAACGTAGAAAATAATTAACATAACATGATGTAATTAAGACGTGTCTTTGATAATTAACAATTTACTCCAAAATTGGAGATATATATGAAATTACATGCGTAAAATGACAATTGTGTCAAACAGTAAAATGAATAAGGAAGCTATTTTTTAATAACGAGTGTTAAATCCGTAAGAACAAGAATAAATTAATGTTTTTATTAATCGTATCGGTATCAAGTTTTTAGGAATAGAGATTTAGATAGGAATAGAATTCTACTATCAAATTGTGAAATGTTATTACCACAGATACATTTTATTTTGTCGCTGATAAGCCGTCAGCTGTTTTTTAAAATACGACGAGCCGACCGCACGTGAAATTATTGTTTTCGAATAAGATATCCACGTGAAATTTTTATACGAAATAATATTGATAAAAAAACAAAAAATAGATTACGTTGGAGACGCGACAAAACATTGGTGCCAATTAAAATAAATTTGAAATTTAACATTGAATCGGAAAAGAAGCACGACGATCTCTTTTTTAGTCTCCAAACTCATTTCTTGGAAGAGATTGTTTATTCATAAGTCTCTTTCATCTCGAAATTTATATGTTTATAAGTGTGATTTTTATACGAGCAAATAAATAAGCAAAGCATTATACCTAAGACTTTAACTTTTTTTAATGATATGTATCTGAATGACATCAATTTAAATTTTTACACCTAATCGTGAAGATAAAATAAATAATTAAAAAATCAATCATATAGTATGATGGATGTATACAATTGATGTTCTGAGTAGAGGATGTCACAGGCATGAACTAGTCTGGTATAATTTGTAATCACATATTATCACACGTATTATCAATTTCTACGGGTCAAATAATTTTACGTAATTACTAATAACATTATACAATCGGTTGGAAAATTCCGCTGTTGATAATAATATCCAGAGATTATCTCTAGTAAGTATAAATGAAACAATTTAACGTGACATAAAATAAATGGATGTTGTCATTACCTCATTGCTTTTCCATTTATAAAAAACCAGTGCCGCTGCAACTTTGGTCCTTCCATAGATTTCTTTATCTGTTTCTTGATTACTTTTTTACACTCACGCCAATGATTTTTGGTCTAAGGCATGCCGGTTGCCTCAAGATGTTTTCCTCATTCGTTCGAACGTACGAGAAAAATTAATTTGATTTTAAACTTCACATCTAGCAACTAGGCTAATTTGCTCTTTGATTGCTTAGACATTACCATTTCACCGGGACATACTGAATCGGCTAATTGGATTTCGGGTTTTGGTCAGCGCCACAGGTAGCAGGTAGACCATATATACCTAAAGCGTGTGGGACTTTCTTTTGACTTCACGAGATAAGGTTTTTTAAATCATCGTCAGTTAAAACAATTAGGTGCGTAGGCGAATTTTATACCAATTAGACTTAGGGTCCTTCAAGAAAAGAGCGTACAAATTCTTAAAAGGCCGGCAACGCACTCGCGAGCCCTCTGGCATTAAGGGTGTCCATGAGCGGCGGTATCACTTAACATCAGGGGATCCTCCTGCCCGTTTACCCCTTGTTCTTTAAAAAAAAATATAACAAAAAAGAAATCGCAGTATAACCTTGTTTGAAAATAAAGGCCTTAATTAAGTTTCCAGAAGCGTAAAACTCGTTCATTCGAGAAAATTTGACCTTTCGATATTGAAAATGCGCGATGCATATTGAACATTGTCGTTATTTACGTCTAGTGCAATGAGTGCAATTCGCGACAATGGTAATAGGGTTTAGTTTTATTTACCAAAGAATTACGCTCTTAATTACGAATATACGCTCGCACCGAGAGTTTTTTACGCCGGCTTTTCCTCTCGGCCTACACCCTCTGTCTTCTTTGCCGAAGAGTAGGGATGCCTACAAATTGAAATTGAATGACGTGGAATAAGTGATACATGTATCTTATGTTCCATAATAAACATATTTTATTTTTTTTATTTTCACAGAACTTTTAACATTCCGACTCCCAGAACCAACATTGGGTTCCGCGAGCCTCTTCACAGGATGTGTTCTGCTTTGGATTCTGCCACTAACATCGACCCCTTTTTCGCACTCCTCTACTGCTTCATTCAAAAATAATTTAAAATAACTATTAATGTCCTTATCCTTGTATCTTTTTTCTTCTTTATTATAGCTTTTAGTATGTTTGTCGTTCTCCGGATTTATAAGTTTTGTGCTGTCATGTTTTGTTTTGCTTTGCTCTGTATCATATTTTTTATCAGTGAAACTTTTTGTGGAAACATCCAATGTGTTTATTTTATGTTTTATTTTTAACTTTTTTTATTGTATAGAGATGTATCTGTTTTGTTTCTCAAATAAATAAATAAATAGTACTAATCTAATTTTTTCAAAATTAATTATGGATTAAAACTAAAAAATCAATTTTTTATACGATATAAAAAAATAGTATAAAGACAAAGACAAAATATATTCATAATTTACATTCATTTGCATATAACTTAATCATATCGCACGAGGTACCATAACTTTGAAGGATCGATCGATCGAGAAGTCGCTGTTAAAATTCGATATTATGTGAGTCCGTTCAATATCGAATAGTATTTTTTTAAATATTGAAATCGATGTTCATTATATATAATGAGGTTTTAATACAGGTTGTAGTTGCAAATTGTTGCATCCTTGCTGTTTGCGATGGTTACGGTTTTGCGTTCTCGACTTTAACAAATCCTGAAAAAAAAACGGTTAATCATATTCTGTAAAAGTTCAAATAGGCAATTTTACAGAATTATTTTAAGTTCAAACACGTAAATGAACACTCAAATCATCGATTAGTCTTCGACACAAAAAAAAAACAAAACAAATAAAAAGTGTACACAGAATATGTAAAATTGAATTAAAAATCTTATACATTCATACATATAATTATATAAGAACCTAATTAAGGCATTATAACATTAATAGAAATTAAAAAATACACGGTCACTTATTGTTATTAACATTATTATGCTGATACAGTGTAATTATACAAAATATTATGAATGTACTAGCTGACCGGGCAAACGTCGTTTTGCCATATATATCATTTATAATAAAAAAATAGGGGTTGATCGTAGAGGGGTGAAAGTTAGGGGTTTGTATGTATTTTTTAATGCTGTATCATAAAAAAATAAAAACAGAAAAAAATATTTAAAAATAAAAAAAAAATATTTAGGGGTGGACTACCCTTAACATTTAGGGGGATGGAAAATAGATTTTGTCCGATTCTCAGACATACCCAATATGCACACAAAATTTCATGAGAATCGGTCGAGCCGTTTTGGAGGAGTATGGCAACGAAAACTGTGACACGAGAATTTTATATATTAGATTAAATTAAACGGGTTTATTTCAATCGACAGACAACTAAATAATCTATCACTTAATTCGTAAAACTAAGTTTAAGTTTTACTTTGAGTGTCTCTTAATAGAAATATGAGCGTAAGTAATGGAATTGGATAGAATTAAAAGTGGAGACTGCGCTGTTTCACTTCTTTTATATTGGTTACGCACTTAGAAAGAGCTACACGTATTATATAGGATACTGCACATTACAGTTATATGATATCAATCTTACTTTGAAAGCATGTCGAAACTTCCGCGACATTAGGCTGTAGAGTATGGGATTGACGGCTGTCGACAGGTAGCTGTTTATCGTGCTTAAGTAGAGGAAAATGCGCTCCAGCTGAAAATTTATAAATTAAGTGCTGTGTTAGACATCCTTCCGAAGCTTTAAATAAGCTTCGGAAGGATGATCCTCTGGTGTAAATTATGATATATGCATATTTAACTACAATAACATGTAATTGGTTTTTTAATTCTATTGGTTATATCAAATGAGCCTCGTTCCTTCTAAAATCAATAATCGCGACCGTATCCTTCTGTGCGTTTCAACGAAAAAAATTGTAACGGAGAGCATCAAATACAGAACGTCTATGTTAAGTTTACTTGACTTAATTGATCCTAGACCACATAAGGTCCTGCAAGATTAAGGAAGCGATAAATATACCTACAGAGTAGGTAGGGTAGGCTAATACTGTGTGTATACTATTATAGTCCTTGATATCGATAAAAAATAAAATAAATCAGTGGCGCTACAACCTTTTTAGGTATTGGCCTCAGTTTTCTGAATCTGCTTCATGCTCATTTTTAAATCTAATAGGTGATCAGCCTCCAGTGCCTGACACACGCCGTTGACTTTTTGGGTCTAAGTTATGACGGTTTCCTCACGATGTTTTCCTTCACCGTTCGAGAAAATGTTAAATGCGCACATAGATAGAAAGTCCGCACAGCCGGGGATCGAACCTACGACCTCAGGTATGAGAGTCACACGCTGAAGCCATTAGGCCAACACTGATCCAATCGATATCCATATTGTGTATTAAATTATTTGTAATTTTGGTTTGAAGATATAACAAAATTGTATTTTTTAAATTAAATAATCAATAGACTCTTAACCTAAGCAGTACATAATAATTAATTAAAAATAAAAATAAGTTTGGTCCCTGTGGCAGTTTATTGATGATCTTTTATATCTTTATTTATAATAACATATATTAATTTGTCACGTATAATCATGCGAAGCTCACGTTTACTACACGTTATTCATTGTCACACCGGTTATCACAACGGAAATTGTATATATGTGTTATCTTTCAGCATTTATTTCATGCAGTATATCATCTTTAAATGTGTAATAGTTATGTTAATAAAAGACAATACTATCTTTTACCAATATTATAATTATATTTTTTTTATTTAAACTGGGGTGCTGCCTGGTGCTGTAATATATCAGACTTAGATTCATCAAGAGCAATCGTACCCCAAAGGACTCTTCCTTCAAAATGCAAATCGTAGATTACTCATCATAAGTAGATTTATTTAGTTACTAGTAATCCAATGGCAATCATTTAATTACTTTTTATTAAATCCTTAAACAGTCGTTAACTAAATGGTCATTACATTTTGTAGTTGCAAGGCACCAATAAGCATAATTATATATCAATCACTTACCTTTATATATAAATATATTTTTTTAATCTACTATATGAGATAATATAATGTAAGATATTCAGCGGACAGTTATTAAAAAATCTTTATTATTATTATTTTTTTACTTTTTGGGATATTTCGATACATACCTGGAAGTAATCGTTGTACTTTTGTCGTGGTATCAGGATTATGAGACGGAGAACAGTGTAAGGTGACCAACAAATAAAGAACGAAGCTGCCACAGCCGCTAGAACACGTGTAAGTTGACCTTATTTATATTCTCTTGCCCTTATCCTATAGGAGCAGTTACGACTTATCTCCTTATATATTCTGTAGTTAGATTCAAGCGTTCTTTAATGAAGCTTCCTCCGTTTAGAACTGATTAGAAATATATTTCCGTTATTTTTTAAAACAAATAGAGGTGTGAAATGCGAAACCTGAGAGTGTATTTGACAGTAAATAGTAATTAGATATTTGATTACTTACCTAACATTTTGACAGCTTTATTTTTGTTTTGTTTACCAAGCGCGGGATGCGGTGTTTGCGACCTTTTGGATTTTAAATTCAATGCTATCAACACATAGAGAACAAATATGACAGTCATTGGGACAACGAAAAATACTATGAGTTCGACGGCTATCAAGTATATTTTATCATTATCCTTTACTGTAAGACAACAGTAAATATTTTCTTTTTTCTCCACCAAATATGCGTAAATGCCATTAGGTATCGAAAAAATGCATGCAATTATCCACACTGCAGTGATTATCTTAAACACACGAGAATTTAAGGCCAACCTTTGTCTTAAGAACGGCTTGGATATAACGAGGTAACGTTCTACGGTGAAAGCTAAAATTGTTAATACACTGCAGTTACTTAGGACATCCCAAATAAGAAAATGCATTCTGCAACCTTCATCGCCCAATGGATAATAATCTTGAACCCAAAGCATGTATATTTCAATAGGAATAAACAGAGCAGTCATCAAATCTGTAATAGCTAGATTCAGAAGGTAATAATTCGTTGGGATTCTCATTGATCTCTCTCGGCAAATGACAGCACATGTACAGCAATTGCCGATCAAACTTAACGTCATCGACGCACTGAGTACGACGCTCAAAATAATCTTGACCAAATTAGACTCTTCAAATGAGGTGTTTTCGTCGTGAAAAGACATTCCGATTCCATAAGATGTATATGTGTCGTTAGTTAAATTGGCCATATTTTTGGCAACTTGGTATATTTGTTTGAGTAAGATATCTCTCTGGTCACACGTCTAGTGTCTGGATGAGCGCGGAAAAAAACTAAAAGTTCAAAGAGAGTTTGCAATTACGCAAATTGGATATAGAGGCTGTATAAAAATAAGACTAGTATTCTATTATAAATCGTTATAACTGGCAGTAAATAGAAATAAGTATACGAGGAAATGGTTAGTCAGCAGTGCTTAAAGTAGTTTAACACAAATTAAGGTATCATTATAATGTAGGTTTTATCGGCACGGATTCACAATCGAAATTTCCCATGTAGCCGATTTATTTGAATAACAATCACCTAAGCGAATTACGACACAAACACATTACATTTTCTTTGAAAATACGATATAATCCTCTATATTACATTTATTGAGAGCTTTGGAACCTCTCATTATAGACTAGTTTCATTTCATTTTAGAATTCTAAAGTGAACACCCTTAGTGTTAAGTAATTGTGTGTAGGCAAACAGGGACTCAAATTGACAGCAACCTTATAGTGAATCGGCATCCCTAATTGAAATTACAACATTCATAAGGGCGTGTCAGATGTTAACGAACAAGTATTTTTAGTGAGGTTTTGTGGTGGAGAACTGACTATTCTAGTTCAAAGAGATTTAATTAAATTTGCCTACGGTTACACGTGTTCCCCATAGGTGTTCAAAAGAGAGCACCGAATATTTATCTACGCCTTTGGACTATAGCATCTACAGCATGGTCGTACTTAAGAAAATGCGGTTTGGATTTGGTCTAAAGGACACAATTCAAAATTCTTTATTTTTTTAAGCTATTATACATAGAGTTTAGATTGGGGCTTCTCTAGTAAGTCTATTACCTGTGAAAGGGAAGCTTCGCTCTTTAATTAACATGTTTTAACAAAATAAATAACACAATTGGTTTTAAAACGATGGTAGTGAAGAATAATATTTATATATCTGATGACTGTGTGAGGGTGTGTGTGTGAATGACGAACAAACCTAAGTGAATGTTTGCATGAGAAGGATGGATGAAGGAAAAAATTATAATAGAGGTTTAAGTAATGCATCTGTTTTGCTATATTTGATGGTACCGAGCCAATTGTTTAAAATCGTTTTACATCTGTGGTAGGTAAGATTATGCAAGCAATGGGTTTTATTTAAGAGATAGGCTGAGCGATAAATGTATTCTTTACGTGCAAAGATAGTCTTGCAAATTACGTAGCTAATTATATTAGGTTGAGTCCTTTTTTGGGGTGAATCGGGACGATTTGGAGAGACCGACGTTGGGTTCTACTAAGGACACAACGGAGAATAAAATGCTGGTTTATAGCTAGTAATTTGTATGACTTGTACATTACTTCTTTAGTGGGAAATCTTGATTTTTTTAAATAACATTATTTATATAATAGCTCTCTGAGCTCTTTATAGTGCTAGAAAATTTGTTTTCGGACAGGGTAGTTTTAGGACATTATTTATGATTTCTATACATTGATAAAAATATTAAATTTTAAAAACGTCTATGTAGAGCTCATAGATTTATTGATGAATAGAACAAACATTATGTCTCAATTTCATCTTATTTTCGAATATTTGGTTAGATATGGAAATTTTTAAATCTTTTTAGTAGTTTGTAGCAGTATTATTTTAATTTTTTTACATCTAATGTTAATTGGTGTTGTAAAAGTTATATATATTTACTAGCTGACCTGGCAAACGTCGTATTCCCATGTATATCATTTATAATAAAAAATAGGGGTTGATCGTAGAGGGGTGAAAATTAGGGGTTGTATGTATTTTTTAATGTTGAATCATAAAAAAAATAAAAAAAAACATAAAATCTTATCTAAAAATTTAAAAAAAATGTAGGGGTGGACTACCCTTAACATTTAGGGGGATGAAAAATAGATGTTGTCCGATTCTCAGACATACCTAATATGCACACAAAATTTCATGAGAATCGGTCAAGCCGTTTCGGAGGAGTTTAACTACAAACACCGCGACACGAGAATTTTATATATTAGATTAGCCTATCCTGGTTTTGCACGGACCTGTGGACCTTACTATAAGTTGTGGTGAACACCGTATGGAAATCCCTTCAGTATACGAACCAAGATACTGACACCATAGGACAATGTTTTATAACATATATTGTTAAGCTCTTTATATAAATACACCAACTCGATGAATTTGTATAGAAGAATTTTTTCAAGTAACTTTAGGCTTGATTTACTAATTTAGAATATTCTTATTATTTATTTTGATCCCTTGGAAAATGGGCCGGGCTTTAGTAAGGGAAGCTACTTGTGTGGACACGTTTGCCCCGTCTCACCTCCATCGGACAAGCGAAGAAGCTGGGGCGGCGCAGAGCAAGCAGAAAATAATAAACGGCACAAATATAAGTCTTTCCTCCAACTTCGATTTTGTTCCCTTTGGAGTAGAGACTCTTGGGCCGTGGGGTTCAAGTGCACAGGCGCTTATTAAAGATTTATTTTTATTACTTTGTAGGTTAAGAAAATTGTAAATACAAATTATACGTATAATGTAATTAATAAAATAATATTTCCATAAACATAAAGAGTCTATGCCCCATAAGATTGATTGGGTATTGTTGGATAAAAATAAAATTTACGAATGTACTGTACATTGTTTATTTTACGAATCTAAAAGTCTTTTCACGTTACAAAAATATCAATAATCTTACGCAAACAATTAATATATCTAAAATAAATAGCTATATCACAAATCCTCACGGACTATATTAAATATAGATTAGAAAGAGGAACAAAAGACCTAAAAAACTAGTTACAAAAATTCGTTATTTTTGGTTTTATACCTTTAATTATGGAATTTTCTTGTCTCAAAACCTAATACCACCTATATTTGGAAAGTAGAAAGGCGAATTTTCTAATCCTGACAAACTTTTTCTTGCACGCCATGAATGTCTTCATAGCCCCATTCTTCGTGTGACCCGTCTCCAGTCCTCTTAACTCTTTTTTCAATAACTTCAGTGGATACCGTTTTGAGGTCATAAGCCCATCCGATCTTCGCCATAGTATCGATGAAAAGCTTTGTAATATTCAAGGAATAGTTTCCAAGTTCAGCTGTTTTATAATCCCAAGGGAAGACGTGGTGATAATTGTGGAATCCTTCGCCCAACACCACCAAAGAGACAGGTTTAGTTTCTACGGGGTTGATATTTTTATCGTAAGGCTTGCTGCCCCATTTATGAGCAGCAGAATTTACCAGCCAGGTCACGTTCAGTACATATACGTAGCGGAAAATAGAGCAGACGAAGTAAGCGTTCCATAGTGTTTCGCCCCACAGTGTAGGAACGTAGGTTGGCATTAAGAAACAGGCTATTGGCATCAGGATCATGTAGTGTCTGCAAAAACGTCACACATTAGTATACATAGGTACTTTTGGAATTATTATGAAACTTGGTCTAAGAAGAGAAGACCGTTTTTGTTGTCATGGTAATTGATACATGACTACTTCCTTTACTCTATAGGATTATATAATCAACTATGTGTACTTAGTGGAGGACGTTTATTATAGTATATTTACACAACGTAGAAATGTAATGACAGTAGCTGTGCGTAATAGACAAAACATTTTATATAAAACTATAACGAATGCTTTATATAACACTTTCTTACTAACTATTAAAAGTTCATACACGTGAGTTAATTGCAGGATGTACTCAAACTCTAAACAATTGAATCTTTATTCCTAAACTCGAATGTATCGAAACTATACATTTATTTATAAAACATCGTTTATATACCTGAATATAATAACTGAAATTTTATATCAATACAATAATACTATTTATATATTCCTGGTAATTTCACTTTGCTTCTTCAGTACCTATCTTCGTATATAATATCAATATTGCGTAATGTGTAATGGTCCGACGTTTAATACGTTGCGGTCAGCTTCAACGTAATATAGAATATTAATTATTAACAATTGATCATATCTACAAGCGTTCAAATTAAGATACAAATATGATTTTTTGTTTACAGTTTCCTAACCTTAAATGGGCCATTTAATGTGCTACGAGTACGTAGCACTTTTTCGGCTGAATCCCCTCGGGAACAATCAAAGTGATTAAACCTATGTTCAACAATCAAAACCTGATAGACACAAATTTTCAAAACCATGTTTTATCGTTAATCTTTAATTTCCTTGAAATTAACCTTATTTTGATATCATAATCAAAATTAGTTCTGTTTACGACAGATAAACAACTTTAATTAGATACCTCAAGCTGCGCAATTTCATATGATAAAATTATATCTAGTTTGTTGGCCGCGATTTCGTCCTCGAGAAATTCTTTTTTTACACAGACAAGGAATAATTAAATTGACTTAAGCTGCTGAATGTGTCAATTCAAATTAAATTGTACTACATCGTAGACAAGAGATCGTAGAGACAATATTTTTAATGTTGTTCTGCCGGTAAGCTATTATGGTTCTAGTGGACCAATGCAATTTTTAACCACAAAATATATCTTTATATTTAAATATACAATATATATCTTGAGTAAGTTTTATTTTGGTCTAACATTTCAATGAAACAAAATTCTTTTAACGAATAAAACCCGTTTAGTAGTTGCATGTAGAAAATAAACGAGTAAATGTACAGACACGCTATACGCAAAACTAAATTACTGTAAAACGATTAAATCCGTATTTTTTTTTTAATTTTATTTACGTTTTATTAACCAAACCATATTTTATTCAATACATAAATTAGTATGAAAGCAGATCACTCACTTTTTCTGGAATCGCAGTATCGGATCAGCCTTCAGATCGCTCATGTCAATCGTGTTTCCCTTGGCTTTGATCTCTGGATGCTTCCTAACCAGCAGCCATCCTACGTGTGAGAAGAAGAAGCCTCGGGTAGCGTTATGTGGATCTGCATCTGTCTCTGAATATTTATGGTGCATTCTATGGTCCCGCGCCCAGTCTAGTGCAGAATCCTTATGAAAAAAACCAACAGCTTGAGTAACCTTACAAAGTTTCTACGCCATGGAATTAAAAGGAAATTAAATCGTTACTAGCGGCTGTACCTTCACACGGATTATTTTTAATATATTTTGGAAATAAATATAGCCTATGTTACTCTAACGTTAGATATAAGGTAGCATATACTAATGAACAAAATTTTAGAAATCGATCCAGTCATTTTTGTGTTAATTTGTTGCAAATATCAAAAGTACAAATCATTCTTCTTTATAATATTAGATAAATAGTTAGGCCAAAAAACCTAAAACCCAAAAAACCTGAGGTCGTGTTAAATGCCGGCAGTGAATCAATGGATTTTAATAGATTTGCATATAATTTCGACGATATGTGTAACGACTACTAGACTAGTAAGTCTAGACTTAAGATTTGAAACACTACATACATTCAAATTCTAGGTGAAAATTCATACAAAATCAGAATTTTAATATCATATAGAAATAGGTATAGAAAAACATCCCCTTCATAAATTATTATTGCATATCACTCGGTGTGACGTGAATGCTGACGAAAATATATCGCCTATAATAAAGTTTTTATTGATAGAAGGAGGGAAATAAATAATAAAATATCACGTTTCAATCTTCGTTTCACCTCAAATATACGTTATTGTTATTTCACATTGATACACATCAGTGTTTGCTTTATCTCTTACTAAATATTATACGTTCAAACATTAATTTCTTTTTCTTTTAATGGTTCTTAACCAGTTGCGCTACATCCTTATATGTCTGGGACTCAGATTTTTTAATCTGTTTCATGATCATTTGTTTTTTCTAATAGACAAATTGATCAGCCTTCTCGACTTATTGAGTCTAAAGCAGGTTTCCTCACGATGTTTCCCTTCACCGTAAGAGCGCATGTTAAATACGCATAGTAAGTCCATTGGTGCACAGTTGGAGATCGAACCTGTCGTAGGTTAGCACGATCTCAATTAGCACGATCAAAAATTGCAATCGCTCCCGATTATCAGGATACTTTAAAATCGCAAAAACAAGAAAGCAAATATGTATTTTTTGTTAGAGGAAACACTTAATTATATGTGGACAAGATCTATCTACAGATAAACCGGTAGCGATTTCTCTTTTGCCTTGTCAGCAAATTAACGGATCTCCCTGATTACAATCAGTAAATGTAACTATCGAATCGATAGGATATTGGAATTCAGGCAGTTTTCTTCAGAGCTTGGTTATACCAAGCTCAATCGATCCAAATATAAAATGCTTGTTGTTTGGATGTTTTATTAAGAGTAAACTCTATATGACATCGAAACTTTGTCGTAGTTTTATATATTAGTATATAGAACCTAGGAATTTATTTTTTTTCGTAAATCTGTCCGTACTCCGTATCTTAACGCTAGCTGTGCCCCGCACTTTTACTTTCGTGGATTCGGTTTCAACGAGTGAAGTTTTCTATATAATTTTTTATCTAGGAAAGTTTACTCAAAAAATACATTGGAATTTAATAGACAAAATAATGGCGCGATCTGCCTATCTTTGGCATAACTGCCTGGTAACGAGGACATTACCTAAAAAATAGAGGTCAAATTTGAAATTCGATGTTAACAACAATCAATAAGATGTCGACAAGCAAAATTTACTTATGTTAAACCACCTTGATAAATAATTCATTACATTCAAATTAACGCGATATTTATATTATATTGAATTTTAATTTTTCTATCAACGATATTGACGTATTAATAATAATGTGTAGAAAAATAGTGTGCGACTCTCATCCCTGATGACGTAGGTTTAACCCCGGCTTGGTTGGCATGGACTTTATATCTTTGTGCGTATTTATTATTTAACATTCGCTCGAACGGTGAAGGAAATCATCGAGAGAAAATCGGACTGCCTTAGACCCAACTAGTCGACGGTGTGTGTCAGGCACAGAAGGCTAACCACCTACTTGCCGATTAGAAACTAAACAGAACAGATACAGACATCTGAGGCCCAGACCTAAAAGGTTACAGCGCCATTGGTATGTAATATTGAAATGTATAAAAAATGGGCTAACTATAACACTGTATGCAGGGCCTGATTAACCCTTAGGCTAATTAGGCTGTAGCCTAGGGCGCGAAGATCTAGGGGGCGCTGAAAGCGTGTCTTCGGTAGCATCATCCCCTGCATATTTCAATTAGACCGAGACAAAACACTAAATGAACTGTGAACTGGATCTACAAGCAGTTTTAGTATCCTAATTTGTTGCTTGTGTGTTACAAGCAACGATCAGCTAAAAAATGGTTTCAAGTCGTGCAAATTAAAGGACAGCGTTATATTCGCTTGCAGATCGATCTGAAAACTTTTATACCTAGAACCTTTTATAGCTGATAGGAATAGATAGGTATGAACCACGTTAAAATTTTCAAACTAGTAAACAAAGTCAAAACTAATATAACAAAACTTTTGAGACCGACCGTAACACACCGGTCATCTAGCGAGGGCGCATCCTGATAATTAGCCTAGAGCGGTCAGAACTCTTGATCAGTCTCTGACTGTATGTTATACTACAGTTACGTTATGTATACATATTAATAGCACGATATCATAATTATACATATATTATATGTATAATTACAGCGATATTGATTAATCTGCAACATCTACTCTTATTCCTGAAGTTCGTCATAAGAACGAGATAAATTTATTCAAGTTAATCAAGTTAAGAGCATTCACTTACCTGAAAGGCGATTGTGTTGAAAACTGTGAGCAAAATGCGGAGCGGCAAGCGAGCTTTGTAGGATTTGTGTGCCCAGAGCCTGTGAGCGCCTGCGGTGATCCCCAGACCAGAACAAATGTATAGAAACACCGCTGCAATATTGTAGAAAAGACAAAAAATAAATACCTAGTCTTTCAATGGGATTTCGTTCTTGACACATTTCGCAAGTTCTTTCGTGTTTATTTAATGGTTATTTTTATATGTCAATGGAATCGGCTTTGATTAAAATGAGTTTATAGTAACGAAAGCCAGAAGTTTCATAGTGAATAATAATAAACGATAGTGAACTATGACAGGGAACCTCTAAACAATTTCTAAAGATCAAAAATCGCTTACAATACAATTATACACTCGTATATATTTTACGAATTATAATTTATGTTTTACGAATAGAAGGGTGGTGGAGAGTTTTATGCCATTTCTTCTCCGTCCGCTCTGTGCTCTTGATTTGGAAACTGATTGTAAATGAAAATTTAGAACCCTCTTGAGAAATATTGGAACCTATTAATGATTTGATATATGAAGGTATGGATTGCTTTGTTTACTATTTTTTTTAAATATACTTACTAGTTGAATTCGTATAAATTAGTTTTTTATTTAGACCGATAAATGAATATTTTTCTCAAGATATTTTAATTGATTGCTTATGAACAATTCTTTGGCTTCTGTTATGTCGTGTAGAATTACTTAGGTTTATAGATTTAGACAATCGCGATAGAATAATACGTGAAACATATTTATTTTGGTGGATCATTAGAAAAGTTATTATAGTTCTTTATGGTACAATTTCCATTTATTTTTCTCTATAATAAAGACAAGAATAAACCAATCAACTAAGACTTCATTCCCTTTTATGGACGATAAAACTTTTAATGAAAACAATCCCGGCGATTGTGTACGAGTGTGTAAAGATGTTGTTATTGTAATTTATTAAAATAACAAACCAAGTAATTTGGATTACAATCTATAAAACATATTTTTCAAAATAATTTAAACAAGTGACAATTATAATATATAAGTTACACGATAATTTTATACAGTTACTTGGCTGTTTAAAAACAAAAATTAATTTTACTTATTAAAGTAAAATTAATTTTCTGGGGTAATTTTAGTTTCTCTACCAACGTTAGATTAATTAATACGAGCTCCTTCAACTAATCATACAAGGCAAAGTGGCGTTTTGGTTGAAAAACCTTTGGCAATGGTCAAAGCATTGCTTGGTCATTGTTTAAAAGCGCGGCATCCAAAATTAAAGCCTTGTTGATCGCCAACCTTTGAAAGGAGATAGCACTATAATAAGAAGAAGAATCACTTATGTTGAAAATTTTCAATACAGTTAAACATATTTAAACAATATCGCGTACTTTCTTTTAAGTTTATATTTGTGGGTAAAACTCGTAACTAATATAACAGACTGCTCTGAAAGCGTGGCGCAAGTACAATTACCATCAAATAAACGAGTTCTGAAAGAGATTGTTTCGATATTTATATAAGTCTACTTGACGATACAAATAAGCAAAGTAACTTAATCCTACACATTTGCTTATTTATTGTTTTGTCGTGTAAGTGATATTTTAAAAGTATGGTACTTTATATTATATAATCGGATCATTTAAAAATATTACAAAAAATCAATCGTATTCCCGAGCGAGACTTGCAGTCTGTACATGCATTTATATTGGACAGTTAGAATCACCTTATTTTCAGTAAAAGAAAAAACTATTTAATTTCTTTTCTCCGAGCAATGTCCTGTTCATAGGTTAAAGGCCTTGAAAAATATAAAATTTATCGATAATTATTTCCTTAGTTCATTGGAAAAAGTACAAGTGATTATAATTGACATTTAATTTAACGTTGCTTGATTAAAATTATTAAAAAAGCCTTGATATTAAAGGCCGCGATGTATGTGAGGATGTGTGATTGTGCCCCGGCCATGCACATTGATTTTCTATCAATATGCGCAACTACTCGTATTACTAGCTGATACGTCGAAGAAAACATCGCGATGAAACCAGTATGTCGCAGCACCAAAAGTACATCCTGTGTGTCGGGCATAGAAGGCTGATCACCTACTCGCTTACAAAGAATAATGATCAATGATCATTACGGCCACAATTTTTTAAATCGATAAGTTCGAATTCTAATAAAAATTCTTACCAAACGTTCGTGTAGCCCACATTGCTTTAAAAAGAAATAGGTAAGCGCCATACACGCCACCTATATGTAACAACGCGAACAAAATCACGTTTCTCCAGACGACCTGCCATTTCCGTTGTTCTGCAGAGGGCGGCACCTCCGGAGTTTCTTTACTTGCATCCGACTCGTATAGCACCCAAGATGATGTCTGTTGATGAGGTGGCATGGTCCTGCAATGAAATTTAATTATTATGTATTTTAATTAAATATTTTTAATATTGTGCTCACGTTACCAATCTGCCGTTGACGATGTTAAATATTGACTGATAAGTTCAGCATACATATATACGTTGTATTTATAGCGTCTGAAGGTTACTTTAGCCCGACTATTTGAAATTCGTATGAGTGAAATTTCCAATTTAAACTTGAATTGTTTGCCTTTCTAGCGTTGTTTCATATGGTTTGCTAATAATTAATAATATAAGGGCATTTAGTACTAGAAGAATTCTTAATTTGCTTCTTAAATTGCTGTGGAATGGAAGCCTAGTTATCCATATCACAGGTTCTTACCTAGTTTGGAAACCAGTCTCCCAAGTTGTTACAATAAGTGTTATATGCGAGACATAAATAAATTATGTTTATTAATTAGTTTTATTTTGGTTATTTAAATTCATTCACATACGTTAAACTATTTCTGACTTGTGACTTTTCTTTGTAATTTGGTGATTTTGAACTAACGGCCCAGATTTTATTGCTCTATTGCATATTTTACAGCAAAGATCTATGGAAACCAGATGATCCACTATACTATATACTATAAATTTTACTATACAATATTTTTTGTGTATGATTATTATGTGTCTATATTTGAAGTACGAACACAGATTAAATGCAACTCTGATAATTTATTTTAATACGATAAAATTGCATACCGTTTAGGGTTACTTACATAAAAGTGATATTTTATATTAATAGTGCATATTATAAATTATTATGGATAATGGCTTTATCTGTAAGATGATAAATTTACTAAGTGTACTTTTATATAATTAGGAATTTGAAAACTTAGTTAAAGTATATCGAAAGTTCTAAACATTTAATTATTTATAAATATCCCTCTCAAACGCAACAGAGAGGTATTCAATTTTCTTTTATCTTAGATTTTAAAACTTTAAATTATAAAATTTTACATATTACGATTTCATATTGGTAAATAACATCACCCGCTCGTATGTTATTAACAGAAGCAGACAGAACCAAATAAACGACGTATGTCTGTGGCCAGTGGACCCTTCGTCAGAGCAGCGGGGCAAACGGGTACGAGGCTCACCTTATGTTAAGTTATACCCATGGACACTCACATTGCCAGGAGGCTCGCAACTTCGTTACTAGCCTTTTAGGAATTGGTACGCTCATAACTTGAAGGACCCTAAGTCGAATTGGTTCGGAAATGCTTCAGTGAGCAGCTCGTTCCACAAAGCGGTGTGCGCGGCAAAAATGCCTTAAAAGCGTTGTTGTGGAACGACGGACGTCGAGGTAATACGGGTGGAATTTTGCATTCCTCGACAACCGATGATGAAACTCAGCTGCAGATATTCAACCGAACACTTTATCCAAACACTCTTCATGGTAAATGCGGTAGAAGATACAGAGAGACTCCACATCTACACAACGCCAAGGGATCAAGCCGGTCGGAAAGTGACTGGTTGTCGACGATTTGAATCGCTCTTCGTTGTATACAGTCAAGTGGAAGGAGCTGGTACTGGGGAGCTCCCGCCCAGAGATGAGTTTTTTCATATATATTATTTAAAACAGAAACGTTTATTGTAACACACACGCATAAAATATTAAAAGTACAAATAATTATAGACAAAAATAGATAAATAGATAGGAAGAAGGTAATAAAAAGCGCTGTGTAAATTTGGTGTTACTCAACGCACTTGCTGATTTTAAGTGAGGCTACCGGGAATACATTTTATATCTCACAAGAAAATGTAATAATCTATACAACACGGAATACTCAGACACTGTATTAAAGAAAACTTATAACCTCAAACAATTTTGGTTAGTTCTATAAAATATGTCTTTCCTGGTTGGTAACTTATGAATAATGATTGATGAAATTTCTTTCCTTTTTTTCCTTAAAGTATACAAAGTGGCTTCATTTGTTATCATTAGCAACACCTGCTACAGGAATAAAAGCTTTCTTTTACTTAAAATATCTGAGAAATACGATTTCGATTATATAGCCATATATTAGGTCCTTACATATGAAATTGGCGTATTTCGTACTGGCCACTTTAATCACGATGTTCTCCTCTTTGGTAAGGAATTCCAAATTCAAATTTGTACAGCTATTTACTCATGTATTTGTGCTTCGATGACCGTCATTCATTTGTTTTTTTCTTCTGTTTTTTTCTGTTTGCGTCACTCATTTTACAAAATGGAAAACTTAAAGTATCGCATTATTTACGAGTACGAGTTCCGCCGTGGCACTAGTGCTGCGGAAACGACTCGAAGGGTGAATGATGTGTATGGTGGTCATGTTGCAAAAGAAAACACAGTTCGTTTTTGGTTCCAACGTTTTCGTTCTGGAAATTTCGACCTGCAGAACAAGCCCCGTGGACGGCCTGAGACCCAAGTTGATAATGAAGTATTGAAGGCTATTGTGGAAGCAGATCCATCGCAAACCACGTCCGAGTTAGCTGCAGGCTGCGGTGTTAGTGATAAAACTGTTTAAATTCACTTGAAGCAAATTGGGAAGATTAAAAAGCTTGAAAGACGGGTACCTCACGAATTGACTGAAACAAACCGGCAAACGCGCGTCGACTGCTGCTTACATTACTGAACCGGCACAATAATGAAGGTATTTTAAACCGAATCATTACCTGTGATGAAAAATGGATTCTTTACGATAATCGGAAGTGCTCAGCGCATCCTGGCCAGCCAGCCAAATCCTGCCCCAAGCGAAAATTAACCCCAAAAAAGTTACTTGTAAGCGTTTGGTGGACTATGGCCGGTATTGTTCATTGCAGTTTTCTCAAATCTGGCCAGACTATTACGGCTAATGTCTATTGTCAGCAATTGCAAACCATGATGGAAGAGCTAGCGGCTAAACAACCTAGGCTGGTCAATCGCTCCACGCCACTGCTACTTCACGACAACGCTAGACCACACACTGCACAACAGACGGCTACCAAATTAGAAGAGCTTCAATTGGAATGTCTAAGACATCCTCCGTACTCCCCGGACCTTGCTCCAACAGATTACCATTTTTTTCGAAATTTGGACAACTTCTTGCAAGGGAAAAAATTTAACTCTGATGGGGCAGTCCAAATCGCCTTCACAGATTTTATTGATTCCCGTCCGACTGGTTTTTTTAGTAAAGGGATCAATGAACTACCTATGAGATGCCAAAAGTGCATAGAAAACAATGGTTCATACTTTGATTAATTAAATATATTATATTTAAAAATATTCGACTTTTTGTTCCTCCCATACAAAACGCCAATTTCATATGTAAGGACCTAATATTAAATGTTTTATTAGTGTATATATATACAACGGGTAAATTCCTAAAAAAAGGAGCACTTTTAATGGGAAATATACAATTTAAACATATTTTAAATAGAAATTGTATTATCAGTCAGGGACAGGGTAAGGGTCCCGTCGTACAAATAAAAGTTGATCGACACATATATACTTTATGTAGCCTTTTAATGTTTAAATCATTTATAGTCAGACTTTTAACGTTATTCATAACAAACTTACATAATTACATATATTTGCTCTTTATTATGTCAGTAGAGATATTATTGTGTAATACGCACACGAAAAGTTTATAAACTGATTTTACTCTACTTTTTCTTGACAAATGGACTTTAATAAACTAAAATAATCAATTCAAACGTGAATTTCCTGATCTGGGCCTTAAACCATATAACTGACACAGAACAATTATGCAGATTTTATTCTGTCCCGTCTCACCCTTTTAACAACCTCCTTTGAACAAAAACTGGAACAATATCGGCCCCACTAAGCACAAGGTGCACTTAAATGTGTCTTTTATTAACTGTCATTTTTTTCAGAAAGTAGATTTTCTTATAGTCCTATCCCAAAAAGGATACCTAACTACGCAATATTAAAGCTAAATATATGATTTAGCTTATGTAACAACAATAGCTAATAATAAATAAATTAAAAATCACAAATACAAGTTACCTAATTAATTAATTTGTTATACTAGAAAATAACCGTCACTTTGTAACAGTGAAATTTAATGGGAGGAAAGGAACTTTGTTAACTGAATGCCTCCCAAATGTGCAATTAGACACAACTAACGACACTATTACACAATTTACTTGTATTTTCATACTATTACTACTTTCATTAACTCAGTAACAAATGACACAAAACACACTTTAATATATTACATACGATTTAAGAAAATATACTCGAAGTTACGCGCGCATAGCCTACATGTGACGTTTTTTTATTGTAACCCTGTTAAATATATAAGTTTCTTTACTTTACTTTACAGGTAAGAGTTAGTTAGTGAGACAAGTTACAAGCAGGCCCTACAACCTTTTAGGTCACCTCATTTTTCTGTAAATGTTTTGTGATCATTTCCTGTTTAAGCCAATTCGACGTAGAAGTCAACATTTTGGGTGTAAGACATGCAGATTTCCTCACTATGTTTTCCTTCAACATACGAGCGTGTGTTAAATGCGCACAAAGATTGTCCTTTGGTGCACACAATCGAACCTACGATATTAGGGATTAGAGTCACACGCTGAGGCTACTAGGCCAATACTGCTAATAAATAATGTATAAAATATTTAATTTCCGTTTATAACACAAAAAAAGCCAGGAAATGAGCGTTGTAGTGACATTGAACTCATGTCAGACTGACGTTAGATATTGACGGTGGACCCGACCGCTGACTGACATATTATTAAACGTTGATTCACCCACAACATTATGGCCAGTTCATAATAGTACTTTTGAAATATCAATTCTACCACTACACATAATATATGAAGAAGAATAATAGTCAGATGATACCACGGATAGTAGACATACATTTAATTCTCGGTAAAAACGTCACAGTTAGGCCAGACTTATTGTATTACAGATTAAATTGAATATTTTATGTGACCAAATCGTCAAACATATTCCATTCCATAAATAGATATTTATGTATATATGAAATCTACGTCAAAGAGA